AATGGCCTTGTTCACCTCCACCACTTCTCAGAAGCTGGAAACTGGGTCCAGGAAGAGACTGGTAGAGGCACCAAGAGTCTGAATCACTCTCCGCCTTCTTTTTTGGCCATTTAATCTACATTTGTTGTTTTTCTTTGTCTTTATCTGTTTATGGCCTCAATCTATTCAAAGGAAATAAAGATTCTGTGAGAGAACTCAACACCCGAGAAAGTACACAGGGTTTCTGCACCCTCTAGGCAGACCTCAACCCTAACAAGCCAGAACCAGATCCTGGGCAGTCCTCTGTCTTCTCAAGACTTTAACTGGACTACTTAGCATTTTTGCTATGGCCAGTTTTCGTTGTTGTTTGTTTTGTTTTTTAGTTGTATATGGACAGCAAGACTTTATTTTATTAGTTTATTTTTATGTGGTGCTTAGGATTGAACCCAGTGCCTCACACATGCTAGGCAAGTGCTCTGCCACTGAGCTACAGCCCCAGCCCTATGGCCAGGTTTTATCAAGGAAAAAACTATCCCATATTTTCACCAGTTCTTTTGACTGATTTTAGAAAGCTAAACAGAGATAGATGGTATTTTTTGTACTTTGGAAAGATTATTGGGAGCTGGTAGTAAATCACTAGTAGATTGTAGGGCTGAACTATAGCGTTACCTGGTATTACTTTCACTGGTAAGTTTTATTTTCTGGAGTTGTCTGTATGTTTTAAATGGATTCCGCTTTGCTCTGTTCATCACTAACAATTGTATAGAACACATTTTCTTCACACTCTTCTAAATTCAGACTTAAAAACTTGGGGTAACACCCAGTCTTTTCATTTTTTTGTGAGAGCCCATCAAGGAAGTCATATAATTGTATCCAAATACCCTCTTGTTTAGCAGTACTGAGTCTGTACCAACCTGTTTTCTTTCTTATCTTAATCCATCTCCAAAGAGCATATCTCTTTAGATCAATCAACCCCTTGACTAGATTCTTTTTTGGGGGAGGTACCAGAGATTAAACTCAGGGGCACTCACCACTGAGCCACATCCCCAGCCCTATTTTGTATTTTATTTAGAGATAGGGTCTYACCTAGTTGCTTAGTGCCTCACTTGCTGAGGCTAACTTTGAATTTGCCATCCTCCTGACTCAGCCTCTGGAGCCGCTGGGATTACTGACATGTGCCATCGCACCTAGCTTGACCTGTTTGTTTATCATCAAATTTCATTCATTAAGTGAACTTTCTCTCTCTGTCTTTCTGGTACTGGGAATTAAACCCAGGCCCTCAAACCCGCTAAGCACAAACTCTACCATTAAGCTATACCCCTAGCATTCAACAAACATTTGTTTTTAGTAGCATTCATTTAGTAGCATTCACTGTCTACTATATTTTAGATACAGTTCTTTGACTTCAAAGTGCCTGTAGTTTTGTGGAAAAGAAGGACACAGTGGTGAAAGCAGTAGTCAGAACTTCATACTGGTTTCCTTTGCCCTCCAAATTCTGTGGGAGCAATGCAAGGGGCCTTTCATGGATGCCTAAAGTGAATTGCATTACAAGTGGGCAGCACTGAGCTTAGGGAATTTACCACTTAAAGTAAACAGGATGAAGTCTACAACTTGTAGGTTATCTCTTAAGTTTGCTTGCTTCAAACACTACCCTGAGAAATGACCTGAGTGAAGAGCAGTTAAGGATTTACATACTTGGTAAAACTAGCAAGAATGTTCATGAATGTTCAAGGTCCACCACAGATTGCCTCTTCCAATATAAATAGAGTGTTTCTTATACACTGCATATGAAGGCCAACTAACCTAATATTTGGGGATTCAAGAGAGTTCTGAAAGATGGTATCTATGCCAAAATATGAAGGTCAAATAGGAATCAGCTGCATAAAAGGAGGTAGACAGCATTTCAGATAGGAAAAATGTTGTGTATAAAACTTGAAGAAAATAATATCATCAACACTTTTCTCATTTCCTTTCACATTCATCTCCATATTTAGTTTCACTCTTAAATACAGACTTGTAGTCAGTTTAACTCTGGAAAGCCTAAGATACAATATACTTCTATAAATTGCACTGGCCCCTGGAATCTCTTAGGAGTGATTTCTGGGACAAATTTTATAATTCAATGTGTTGGCCCATCTAATGTTCTGATTCTGCATCTTACTGATCTTTACAGAGACAAATCTAATTCTGTGGCATGGTTTTAGGTACTGGAATTTCAGACTAAAATCTATCTCCTCAGCCCTACTAATGAGTTTTGTGAGCAAAATGTACATTTAGTATGTATTTTTTTCTATTGAATCAGCTACAGATGATTCTATTGCCCATCACTAAAAACGCCAGCTGATCCAATGTATTTTAAATTTTACCAAAGGACAGTAAAAATATTTTAAATAAAATGTTACGTGTTTCTAAGATGCTGACACAGTCTTGTCATTGGTAGAGAAAGGGTTTTGGGTTGCTTTTCCAGAAAAGTTCAGTACTAGATAGGTTGATGGTCTAGATAGATTAGTATAATCCTGTTAATTTATTTGCTTAGCAAGAATTAACTTGGCATGTCTTATATTTATCTAGAAAGACCTGTTTATCTTACATCAATGCTACCCCCAATTCCAGTTAGCTCCCTTTTCCTTTATAAATGTGAGAACCCCAGAAAGAAACACCAGACCCTAGGATTACCACGCCTGGCCAATCCTATAAGGCAAATATCACTCAAGTCATCAGAAAGATTGGTTTAAATACTTTTGCCCCACTCCTTTGCATTTTTCCTGGAACTTTCATGCCTAAAAATAATAATTCAAGGATGGGAATAAAAGCCAAGTCCGTGCATCTGTTTGAATCATTTATTTCAACATAACCATTATTTTAAATTTACATCTGTTAACATTTAATACCTAGAGAAAAGGTCTGAGAACAACTTCATAAAAGGATTATTTGACAGTTTTAACAAAAGTGCTATGGCTTGTTTGTTTCAAAAACAGAATTGCCAGTCACAAAGAGACACTTATTGTCTCTTGGAAATTGACTTGGAAAATGTTTACATATTTACACTGTACACTCAAGCAGGATTTTTTTAAACAGGCTATTCTGAAGCTTTATTAATAACAATAAACTTACTAGTAGGCCTCTTTAACCCTCTGGCATTCAATGGATGGTATTAATTTTACGTAAGTGTGACTCTTCATGTGATTCCCATCTTTATCATAACCTAAGTGGACTTTCTTTCATCACCTCCAGGTCACATATTTACCTTCCATATGAAGTAGGGTTTTTTTAAGCCAAACYCTTTCTTATTGAAGTTGGGGTTTACTAACATCTATGTACTTACGATATAAGGGCAAATTATTTAGAGGGATGTCCCTAAAAACTAAAATAATCTCATTAAGTCTTCTTAAATACATTTAACGGTATAAAGTTTGTGATTATAATAGGCTACTATCTAAATAAGTTAATAATTTGCTAGGTACTTATTAGTATTGATTCCCTAGTGGTTTACTCCATCTACATGAGAATTTATTTTAATAATGATATATATATTTTAAAAACATTATGAGTATAAAATGACTAATATAAATTACCATAGCTATGACCAAAAGTGAACATTAAAAAAGCAGTTTGTATGTTAAAATACATAGAAATTTACTATACTTCTTTAACGAAGTGCTATTTATAAAAGTAGAAAACTGTACAAAGTGCTATTTTCATGAATTTTCCATTTTCTTGATTCTTGAGCCAGACCAACAGGCAAACATTACAAATAGTGCAAGGCAGCACTGGCCATCCATTACCTTGAGTTCAGACATTAAACTCCAGTGCAGAGTCTGGGCCTCAAAGCAGTTGTTCATCCTTACCTCACTCACCTAATTGGTGATAGAGCCTCATTCACTGAGAAACAAACTAACTTCATTTCATCTTTTGTAGCAAACATGTAGATTCAAAAGTATGTATTGAAATGGAATTTTCAAGCTGATCATTTAAAAAATCAAGAATCATAATGTTAAAATATTTACTCTGAATATCTTGAAAATCACATGGAGAATATAGGTCATGGTATACGAAAATTTAACTTAAATAATAAGACAAATAGAAAAAGGGGAAAGGTAGACATTACAGTGAATAAAATGTTATTCTCTGATTTTGTGTGTGTGTGCAAGGGGTCAGACTCAGAGTCTCTTATAGGCAAGCATTCTACCCCTGAATTGCTACACTCCAGCCCATTATTTATTCTTTATCATACAAATTTAAATTCAAAAGTTCGGAACAAATGATTTAAAATTCTCCATATCTTTGAGCTCAAAATTGGTGAAAGTTTGAAATTTAAAAGAGTTGACAGATTTAAGGAAGAGCTTTCATGTTAGTTACCTCATCTTCATTAGTTTTGAGTTTCATGGGAACAATGTGAACTAGCCCTGGAATTTTGCTTCTAGACAAGACAATGATTAGGAGGATAATAATAACATAGTTCTTACATTTGTATCAGTGCCAGATCTTTGTACACTTCACCAACACCTGTCATTATCCTTAGTTTATATGGATGAAACCGTGTAAGTTAGAAAAATGGAAAGTAAAATCAAATGGAAGCAAATGACAAATCAAGCATGACAAAAATGCACTCTTGGGGGGGCTGGGGTTGTGGCTCAGTGGCAGAGTGCTTGCCTAGCATGTTCGAGACACTGGGTTCAATTCTCAGCATCRCGTACAAACGAATAAAACAAAGATCTATCGACAACTAAAAAAATTWAAAAAAATTTTTTAAATCCACTCATGATGACTGTCACAATATTGAGTTCCAGGATTATATGTTCTCTGTAGGTCTAACAAATTATTTTCACCACTATCCTTTGGTCTTTACCCTGAAAGGAGCGAAATTTCCAGATGGTCAGCACGGCCGGCAACTAAAGAGTTAGGATCATTTATATTGTGTTCCCATGGACATAAAAATTTATATTATTTGTATCATAAACTTTTGGTGAAAAGAAAAATGCAAAAATGCAATGCATTATGCATTTTTTTTTGAAAAAGCCTCAGAGTTCTGACTCTTTGTCATTTTCATCCAGGTAGTATTCATCATCTGTGGTAGTGTCTGTGTCACAATCTGAGTCCACTGGGTCCTCCTCATATATATTAAGTGGTTCGTTGGCAAATAAGCCATCTTTTGGCACCTGACTGCTAGGAGAATTTGAACTTAATGACTCTGATGTGTTGGAAGGGTTGATTACRTCATCTTTCAGGAAGCCTGGGTTCTTAAGAAAACTTGGTTTCCATAATCTGCCTTGTGTGAGTGACCTCTTTACATTCTCCAAGAAAGCCAACTGTTGTTCTTTCCCAAAAATCCCATAGTCAATAGGTCTGGATATAGATGATGCAGACTTGGGAACTGTTTTTGTCCTGCTGCTATACAAAGCCCAACGTTCATTTTCATCACAGGAAGGAAGTTCAGAAAAAGATTTGAATCTTCTGCCATATCCAGCGTTGGTAGAGAATTCATTCGAAAGGCTCAGTTGACTCAGGGCATTGTCAATAGAAGTGCTTTCAGAAAAATGGCGCTCCCTGACTTTGGGAGGTCCACTTACATATAGCTGATCACCTAGCACACTGATGTTCTTTAAGCTCTTTGAACGATAGAGATGGGGCTCAGATTCCCTGTTCGGAGATGAAGCACTCCTTTGTTGCTGCTGACAACTGGCCAGTGAGAGGTTGACTGTAGAATTTTGTGCAGGCTCCAGTGGAAAAGGAGGGCTCAGCCTCTTCTGCTGGTCAGAGAAGTCAACTTCTCTGAGGCTGGTGAATGTGAGCTGGGTTGGGGTTCCTGATTCTTTTTCCAAAATCTGAGCTACTGCCACATCTTCAGAATTCTCATGCTTTGGGGGTGATTCTGAGACATTTTGAAACTCATTCTGATGTAGTTGTGAAATGTTGTCAGACTTCTGATCACAGGAGTGGCTAGAAGTTTCTCTGCTGGATGTTATCATATCCTGGAGAGGGTTCTCAGATTTCTCCATATTCATCCCATTATTACTCAAGCAGCTTTCATCTGTGGAACCTGTGGAATTTGGAGTAGGCTCAGGGGACAGTGGGTCACATTCCAGATTGCCAAGTGATAAATGGCCAAAGCCAGATTTGCTCCCGCTTTGGGGGAAGATAGTAGCTACATGTCTTCTAGGACTTAAGTCCTTAGTGGGGAATTTTCTGTTTGCTTTAGACATGGCTGCCAATCTATGTTTAACTGTAGGTTTGTTTTCTGCTTTTTCTGGGTTACCCAAGTTGGTTTTATTTTCATTACTCCCTCCAGGAAGTAAAGTTTGATCCCGAGCTAATTTCTGCATTTCATCTTTAACCTTCCTGCTTTCTGTTATATTTCCTGTTATATTTATATCCTGACTTGCTTGAGATGATTCTCTGGGTCCAGACTCTAAATTCTCTAAATCTTGTTCACCTGAATGAGTCTCTTCAACTACTTGCAGTTTATGGAATGCYGGAATTAAAGCAAAGACTCGGTTTTCTGAATCAGAAAGCATTCTATCAGTTCTTTTGTGGCAATCTGTTTCAGTTTTCCCTCTGACTTCCCTCGGCTGTGATCCACTGGAGCTATCATCTACAAATATCACTGTGTGATCTTTTTGAGGACACTCTCCACTTGCAGTAGCTATAAAGTCTATACCACTACCTGCACACTCCCTGGAACTTCTGGTTTGAGAATTTTCAACATTATCTTCTAAATGGGCTGGGAGACCATTTCCTGCATTAATGGAGGTTTCAGAGTTTTTGTGGGTACCATTTCTTTCCTGAAGCATTAGTGATGTATGCAGGGTTCCACTTTGACATTTTCCCCCTTTCTCTTTTCTGCTTTGTAAATCACCTAAAGGTGTTTTAGCTAAGTTGTCTGGGGAAGTATTTCTAGTTTTAGATTCTCCTTTATGAAGACAAACATCTGTCCCAACAGAAGCCATTTCTGAGAGCCCATTGTTTGGTAATTTGAAGACAGCCATGTTTTCAGTGGTCTGAGAAAGATAACTTTGAGCAGAGTTGACTGGTACCGTTAGATCTTCAGCTGAAAGTGTTTCTGATTGGTCTGGTGGAGAATAAGTTGGTTCATCTCTTTCTAAATCATTAGGAAATGTTTCAGTTTCCACCTGAGGTGATTCTGTAAGTGGACTGGCATTTTGTGTATACCGTTGAAGGAGATCACAGAATTTTTTGCTGGGTTTCCTTGGTAGAGTATAATATATCGAAACCACCTCAAGGCATTTTACATTTTCTTCATCACCAGAAACAGAAAATGTGCTAGTTGTCTTAAATTTATGCAATGTTTTCCTGCATTCTTTTCCTGACAATTCTGCACAAAAAGGTAATGGATCTTCATTTGAAAGGGAAAATACACTTGTCCTGGAGGCAATAGTTTCACCATCCTTTTCTGTGCATTCTGGAGAGAATCCCTTTAGATGGTGTCTTTTGGTTAAAGAACAATCTCTAACAGATGAGTCATTTTCCAGAGAGTTAACCATTCTCTCCCAAGGGCTTGGTGTTACAGCATAAGTATCTGTGTCTGAAACTGATGGCTTTTTTCTTCCATCTTTTCCAGTTGAGGCACATGGCTCCCCTGAAGGACAGGACATAGCCCTCTTGATGAGGAATGGAAGTGGTCCTTTTCTGACAGAAGCATTTTGAATGCCTTTCATATATGTCTTCCTCTCTGTGTCTTCAGGTGCTACGGGGACTGAGTCTGAAATACCTTTGGAACATTCACTTACCAACTCAGGAGAACTGGGACTGAATTTGCTTGATTGATACTTCCCAACTGGATCTTCCACATTGTTTTTTATTTGGAATGGAAGTGGTCCATTCCTAATGGAAGCAGCCATTATCTTACTTTCAGGCTGTCTGCTGTTTATGAGAAAACTGGCTGATTTTCTTGGCAAGGTACAATAAATTGTGTTAAGCTCGTTGCTTTGGTTCTCCTCAATGAGGCTACTGCCTTCACTGATGGGTATTGACCTATTTTCTATTTTGCTTAACTTTTCAATACAGGATATTCGACGTCTTATTTTTCCTTTTCCCCTTCCATTTCTGAATGGAGAGCATGAATGGCATTTGACAACATCAACCACTTCATCACTTACAGGCATGTGACTATCCATACTCTTCTGATTTCCTGTGGGGCTTACAGCAAACTGATCATTTTGTTTTTTGCTAGCATTGTCTTTTCCTTCCCTTTCTTTCAGAAGTAGATCTTTGTCTGAAGTACTTTTCCTGGAGAACACTGTAGTAGAAGGAATCATCAGTTCATCAGGGAAAGAATTATTTGATGGTGAGGAATCTGGTGGTGCACCTGATGACAGACCTGAAGAACTGCTTAAGCTATTGTTCCCAGCAGCCAGCTTGCTACAGTTAGTAGAGTGAGTTGTGGGACATTGTTCAGTATCTGAAATAACAGCTTCCTCTGGAGACTGTGTGTTTTGAATATCAATAGGTTCAGAGTGCCAGTGGTAATTTTTAATAATGCTTGAAATATCTTCACTACCTACTGTTAATTCCTGATGACACTCTTGATTTGGGCCAAGGAAAGATGGTGGTGTTATGCTTTCCTGGGTGAAAGAAAGGGAAGTTGTTGAACCAAGTTTTTTGTCCCCAGGAAAACTCTTCTCTTTTTTAAGTTCATTGGCCTTCTCTCTGGGTGATGCATACATTTGGGAAGTATCGTTCCTAGAAAAGACTCTGGGTGACCTTTTGAAATTTATTTTGGGAGGTTCATTAAAATCAAACCTATTGCTCTTGGCTGAGTCCTGGGAGAGAGAATTCTGAGAATCCGTTAAAGGGCTAGAGATCACTGTCTGTGAAACAGGTTGGGGTATTTCACCTGTTATGTTCACCTGGTCCATCTTGTTTAGTTGTTTGTCTTCTAAAATAGATTCAGTCAAGTTCTTCTCATTATTCATTTCTGTGACCGAGATATTGAGCTGGCTTTCAGTCAGTGACAGAGAATCAGTTGAGTTGCTATCTGTCACAATATCCTCCATATGGTTTCTTATTGGAAGGGTATCTGGATTATTTGGAATAATTTTCTGCAAAGTCACTGTAGCCTGCTGAAAGTTGGGACTCTGAGAATTCCCTTGTTCATCAGGAATCCGGGAGAAGGAATTTTTGAATGAGGACACTAGAGTCTGAGCAATTCCAAATGAGTAAGGTTCTTTGTTTATAAGTACTTCTCTAGGAGAACTGTCCTGATGACATTCCAACCCACTAGATTTGATGTGATAACCTGAACCAGTCCTGGAGTAAACATTAGGTGTGCCAAAATGAGTAGATTGGCTCTCATTACCAGGTGATATCTCCATGCTCTCTGGTGGGGAAGTTTGAAAATCAGGTTGCCACAGATGTGGCTCTTCTTGGCCTCTGAAAAGATTTGTTCCATAATGAGAAGAAAATGGTTCCCAGTGTTGAGAAGGGATACTATGACCATGAATAGCTGATGCACTATTTGCTTCAATGGAAATCATTTCAAAGTCTCTGTCAGAAGTGAATGGTTTCCTACTTGGATGAAAGTCAGAATAGGGAAAATATTCTTTCTGTTGGTTCCAAAAAGAACTTTGTCCAAATCTCTGTTCTCTGCTTTGTCTAAAGGTATTGCTAAAGAAAGACCTAGCAAATAGGTTGTCTTGATAGTAAAATGGCATATTCTCTGAGTTCTCAAATGCATCAGGACTCATTGCATTATCCATGGGGGCATTTAAACTAGCACTCTGGAAAACATTCCGTGAATGGTAAAATTCATATCTCCTATTCTCCTGAAAACACCTTGGGTACATATAATGGTCAGCAGGGTCCATTTCCATGGGTGATTGTGCCCTCAGAAATTCTTCCTGGTTCTGCCTATCTCCAGAAGAATCTGATCTATTCCATATGATGGATGACAAAGGAGTTCTCTTTGGGGTCCGCTGGTGGCTTGGTGGTACAAACCTACTCTTGTTCTGAGATGTGGCTGGAAAATGTACACTTCTTGCTGTGAAATGCCTTGGGGCTGGTGAGGCTGTTCGTTGCCGGCTGTCAAAACATAGAGACGTACTACCAAGAGTATTCTTTTGCGCGTAATCTTCTTTTAAGATTCTGGGCTCCCTTGACCTGTACATATCACAAATTGTCCTTGTCCTGGGAGAAAAGGTTTTAAAGCCTTCTCTAGGAGTTCCTGGTCGCAGGATGTCATAAATTGACATATTGGAAGTTTCATTGTAGCGATGTTTGTGTGTTCCTATAATATTGCCACATCTGTTCCCACTGGAGTAAGAACGACTGAAGGGTGTTCTTGATCCGTAGTTTAGGGACATGTTGGTATTCACTGAACTTGCAGACTGCTCCTGAGCCAGTGTGCTATCCAAATCATCTAAAACTAAAGGAGAGTATGAGTCAATTTTTTGTTTATTATTTTATAGTTTAATAATAATTTGAGTTGTGGAATGCCCCTCTTCAAGAAAATAATCATTTATAATTTTATTTTTACCATGCTATCATAATTATGATGACGTTAATTTTGATTATGTTTTTAAGATAGTCTGTTTTTACAAAACTGTAATAGAGGAAATCAAACTTTTCAACGTAAATGAGTTAAGAACAAATGCTATATTTTTCCTAACAATAAATTTTATTCATGGTTTCTTTTAGTGCATTTGAAGTTTACTGAGTTTTTGTAAGACATGGGCTAGTAACAAAAGAGAATTAATAATGTAGGTTGCAGTATTGGTTCTATCATTGAATAAATAGAAAACCTGAGTATTATTAAACCATGTCAATTTCTTTCATGTCTCCAAGTGGCTATAATATTTCAACTATGTTTGCCTCATAAGATTGTAATAACATGTGATTTCTTGGTTGTATTGTTCAGAAAACAGCATTGCTGCCAAAAGCTTAGCATTACCACCTTAATTTATAAATGTATTAGTTGGATACATTTAAACCATATATATAATTTAAAATTCTATGAAGTGATATACAAATATTATATTTTTGCTAGAAAAATTGAAATCCATTAGCACTACTATACTATAGCACTTTCTCTGGGTCAGGCACAGTTTTAAACACTTGATATATTAGCTCATTAAATCCTCACATAACCTTACAAGCTTATACTRTTACTATTCTTATTTTATACTGAGGAAACTGAGGCAGAAAGAGATTAAGTAGGTCACCAAGGTCACATAGTGCAGGGATTTGACTCCAGGGAGCCTGTCTCTTGAGTCTATGTACACAATCACCTTGCAACACACCCTCTGGGCTATAAAAGCTTCCTTTTCACTTTTTGCTCTATATAACTTATAAACGCCATTTCAGTGGGAGATGAGCTATCATTCTACCAGGATGTAAAACTGCTATTGTCAAATAATGATTCTGCTTCTCTCAGTAGCAAGGTCTTAAAGAGGGTGGTTCCCAGGTCAAGGCTCAGTTACCTCCTTATCACGCTGAAGACCTAGGTCAAGCCACGACCCGGACTCAGGCTTATAGGACCACAGTTTCTGTGATCTCACGCAAATCATGCTATATTTTCAGTGATATGATTGGTATTTCTTTGAATTGTGCTTATTTAATCATATTTGACATATTTTCCTCAATAAAACCCATTAGAATTTGAATAGAACCATAATCTTTAAGGTTATGTCATACCTATATGTTCACCACCTTCATCTTACAATAAATACAAATAGGTTATTTTATTTCTTAATAGAAATAAAATCTGACACAAGAAATAAGTAACAGTATTATTTAGACTGCTGAGGGAGTTTGGGGCATATAAAAATCTTTCCTTCTGAGTTACATAAAAAGTTGTGTGTTATTTTTAAATTTTTATCATTTATAATTTTTAACTGTAAAATGACAGGAAAAGTGAGGCATATCAGTGTCTGAGCCCATATAATTGGGATGCACATGTGACATGCCAGTTATATTAGGGCAGGTGCTAACAGGATTTTTGAAGTCTGTTTTGGATTTTCCCCTCCCCTATTTTATTTGTGAATTGGTGCTATTAAGTTTGCATAGCACAAACAACTAGCCTCAAGCATTAAGGATCTCTAAGGAATTCTTTTTTTTTCAACCAATTTAAACTGGCATTTACAGAATATTCCACAGAGTAAAGAAAACACATGTTCAAATACACACATAACAAATGCACAAATGCCAAAATAGGCTACATTCTGAACTATAAAATAAGATATATTTTTAAAAATACTTTATTTTTTAGTTATAGTTTGACACAATACCTTTATTTTATTTATTCATTTCTATGTGGTGCTGAGGATGGAACCCAGGGCCTCGCACATGCTAGGTGAGCTCTCCACCACTAAGCCATAACCCCAGCCCCTCTAAGGAATTCTTTAAAGAATCATCTGTCAGTATTTTAAAGAAAAACTATTTACTTATTCTTAGTTCCTGAAAAAATGTATTCCCTTTACCCACAACAAAATAATCAATACCAAAGTGTAAGATGGTGAATGAAACTATATAAGAAAAAAATCTGTTTTTTAAAACAAATTACAATAAAATCTCTTTGATTTTCATTCTCCCTTTCAAGTTGTTTTATATTGACTTCCCCCCTCCCCTCTCTAAAGACTTGCTAACTAGAAAAGCAGAATATACTTAGACTAGAAAATCAGATATGTTTAACAAAAGAGGAAAAAGTCACCAGGCATCCTATCTGGAGGTGACCACTTTTAATTTCCCCCATAATAGGAATTTAATATATTCAGTAATTGAGAACCCAAATTAACAACGCTGTCTCGCTCAGTACTCTTGAAGTCAGAAAAATTCTTGTTCTTCTTGTCTTTATTTTCAGAAAGGCCAAGAAATCCTCTGCACAACATCCCCCCCCCCAGCCCTTCCCCACCTTCATCCCTGATTCTGTGAACAGCTTTCCTTTGAGCAAAACCTTCATTTTGGAGCAGAGATTTTCCTCTGGGTCTCTGCCAGGGACCACCTTACTGAAGGGCATCCCCAGGTTGCCTGTCCTGCTGCATGCCTCTCACTGACTACCACKCCTGTTCCATACCACAGGGTTGGGATGATGTCCCTATCTCTGCAGACCGAACGTAGCTCTTCCAAGTATGCTGGTGAATGACTTGGAGAGATAACTTTTTGAATGGTCAGCTTTATTTTGACATGGGATAACCCTATTTATAAAGGTGAACAATGACTATAGCATAATAAGATACATGTACATGTGGAACTTGTGGAATCTGTTTCAGTTTTTATCATCTGCTACAGAAGGTTAATTGTTTAATGACAGTTAGATTTTATCACAGTGCATTTATGTCCTAATCAGGAACAATAAAAGTCTATTTAGAACAGTAAACTTTATAGATGTATTTCCTTTTTACCTGAGGTTAAATATTAAACATTATTACTCTTCCATATATTTATCAACTCTCGAGTCTAGAGTATTTTCTTAGATTACATTTAACCCCATTAAGTTCTTCAATATTTATGTTAATAGCATGTATCAGTATCTACTTCAGGTAAGGTAAACAAGAGGACTTCAAAAACACAGAGTTTGATATGTTTTAAGCACTTTAACTCAAACTAATTATTTGCTTCCCTTTAGCATAAGGAGTTCCAACTTACCTTGGAAAAACTCATTGTCCAGAACTGAAGCATCCCATGGAGGAGGCATTCCACTCCCCACCCTCATGATTGCTGGTGTGAGGACAGATGCGCTGTCAACTGGTTGATTTTCCAGAGGTGAACTATATATTTTTGCCTGCTAATTTTAAAGTAAAACAAAAAAYAAACATAATATTATTTCTGAACCTTCTGCGGCCAAACTGCTCATGTGTTCCTACAAAAATGTCACAAGCTTTAAAGTCCTAATCCCAGCACTGCCAATCAATCTTCCTAACATTTATTTCTCAACTTACAATGTTTTTTTTTGTTTCTGTCTTTTGCAACTGATCATAAATTTCTTCATATCTGTATCAATTATTTTAATTAACTACAGTATTAATGTTCAGGCAAGATATTGAGCCTTGCTTCTAAGACTTCCTGTAGGCTTACATAGAATTACACAAATGTTATAGAGTAAGGGTGGTTCCTGGAAATCAGGAAAGAAATTAATCTCTCTCAAGTCAGGAGTGTTGTCTCCAGGGTTCCAGTGGCTGCAATTTTGGACTTTCTAACACTGTGCATATATTATATCAAGAGCACATTAGTTAAAGCATGTAGTATACTTCAAGATGTGTGAACTTGATGAATTTAAGGAAAAACAGTATTTCTATCCAGAGATCATCTAGAATGTAGAAACCCTACTCCCACCCCAGAACCATATGGAAATATTTACTAGTTCTAAAACAAAAGCATCGAGAAACATGATATTATTATTATTATTATTTATTAACTATTGCTAGTTTTAAAGGATTTTTAGGATTTAATTAATACAGATATGAGTTAAAGTTGTTATCCTTTTTTCCCCTTAACTAGCAAATGTTTACCTTGATTTTATCAAATCTAATCACTGATTTGCTTTTAAGCTTTATTTGTTTTCATAACCTTGGAGGAATTATCCACACCCACATTTTTTACTGTATTGTGCCAAAACTCCATTTGCATTTCCTCTGTCGTTAAACTGGCTCCATTGCTTATGTCTCCACTTCAACTTACCTTGCACTGATCCCTGAACAAGGTTGGTAGCCCTCTTTTCTTTCTCATCTCTTCATTTTCAGCTCAGTCTGCTACCTACTCTGCCTCTTGAATCCCTCTCCTTCCCAAGGGTCCCCTTTCCATTTTATGTTCACCATTACACTTCATTTCATCTTTACTGCCTAACACCAAATGTCTAAGCTTTCCAAAGTTTTTAATGTCTTCATCACAGATCTAAGGTCCTCGTAACCCCTACATTCTTCACATTCTAGTAAATTCACTCTTGCCTGGTGTTTTTTCACTCTTGCCTGGTGTTATTATTATTTTTTTTCCCTTCAAGGTCTAGACCAACTATTTCTTATAGATAGCTGCCCAAATTTTATTGAYATGCAGTTTTCAGCTCCATGGACAAGCCACAACTGACTACTCACAAAGGAGATTTCTTTAGTAAGGAAGAAATTCTCTCATAACTTATTAGACATTGGATATAGTTTAACACACTAATATAAAATTAAGAAATAGATTTTAGAATCAAAACATAATTACAGTGAGTGGTTGGAGATAATAAAACTTTAATCATTTGAGAAATCAGATCTAAGTTAATTTAATCTAAGTATATTGAGGTGATCTATTTTGTTCCCTGCAACAAGATGTTTCTGCAACTCTTTATTTGTAACAATAACAATTAGTCATGGATCTTATAATTCATTCTTTCCAAATCTGCAGTTTAAGTAGTTGGTGGAGAATAGATAATATCTGATAACAGACTACCAAGCTTCATTGCCTCTCAACCATTTAACATTTGAATGAACTTCAGATTTCCCCTCTGTAGACCACAGCACATTCCTTGTGGCCTCCTGGATCACATCCTTCAATATTGAAAATTTACAGTGAAATGGAATGTGCATGTGAGGGTTCAGGTGAAGAAGCCTCTTCCTAGGCTGGGAAGGATCACTCCCATCTACAGACCCTGACACACCTGCTTGATTATGTTTCTGTCTGGATCCTCTTCAAAACTAGCCCTACTCATCTGCATGTTCAGGATGCTTCTGACACATAGAAATGTAAATTAGGCTGTTAAGAGAAAATATCAAGGTTTTATTTACATTCAACTTTAAGTCTACAAGGGTTCTGTGGTGTGTGTGTGTGTGCGCGCGCGCGCGTGCAAGTATGAAAACTTAAAAAGAAAAAGTAACTGCTTGTCAATGGCTGGTATCTGACATAAAGAAGATTGAACTGCTTTATAGATCTGAACTTTAATTTGAGCAATGAATGTATGAGATATTATTAATAGTGTTCTGAGCAGCAGCATATTGTAGACAATATGTTAAGGGCTTTGTAGGGGTAACTTTATTTCATTATTTTAATAACCCTATGAAGTTGGTACTCCTATTGTCCCTCTTTCCAGAGGTTTCAAGAGTCTGGTCTGAGAAGATGCATTCCAGGGTGTCAGATTCCTGAGCCCTTGCKGACTCCTCCCTGCTCCTGGAAAAGTTCTGCAGCTCTGGGTTTATCAGCACACTGCATCCTAGTGGGAGGCATCTGTAGCCTAACACAGGTCTTAGCACAGCTGGGAAGCATCCTAGTTCTTTGGGACCCAGAGCAGAGACAATCCCTCCAGGTCCCTGAACAGACACTGATTGTCAGTGTCAGCCTTAGCCTCAACCTCAGACTCTTCTTCAAAATAAAGCTCAATGCTGTGGAGTTGTCATAAAAAAAGGAAGCCTATTTCCCATTCCTGTCCTGGAGGATGAAGTCTGACTACCTCTTTGCAGCAAAAATGTGTCTGAAACCTTTTCCAACTTTTWAAAAAAAAATTTAATTGTAAGATAGGGTCTTTTTCTTTTAATATTTTATTTTTAGTTGTGGTTGGACACAATGCCTTTATTTTATTTATTTATTTTTATGTGGTGCTGAGGATCGAATCCAGGGCCTCGCATGTGTTAGGCAAGCGCTCTACCGCTGAGCCATAACCCCAGCCCAATGTATATTAAACCTTTTCCAACTTTTGATGTAAACCTTTCCTCCTCTTTCTCTCCAGATGTCCTGAGCCGCAAGCTTACTGCACGCAGTTCCCCCAAATGCCATGCTTTTCTAGATCTCTGTGCCTTTGCTCCTGATTTTTGTTCTTTCTGCACTTCTGGAAAATTGCAACTCATCTTTCAGAGTCCAGGTCCTACATCACCATCTCTCTGAATCCCTCTCCAACTCTCCTTGGGCAGAATTAATCCCCACAGTGCGCAACCCGGCTGGGCACAGAAACACAAGCCGCTCAAGCGGGAAACAAAGCTTTATTTAAAAAAGCCGCCAGCGTCCCGTCCCGTGTGCGCCCTGCTAGCCAGCCGGTTGACACACGTGTGTCGCCACCGGAACCGGGCGCCCGCACCTCCCCCGGAAATTCCCTCCTACTATCCTTCCCCAACCAATGGGAACTCTCTGGGAGTCCCGTAATGTGAGTCCCTTAACAGGCCGAGGTGAACAGCAGGAGTCCAATTTCCATATGAATGTAAAGCTTAACATAATCATATCATCTCAATGGCTAGTTGGCTGTCACCTAAACCAAAGGTRCCATATATCATAATACTTTTGCTGTGGCTCCTAGCACCACAGTATTTTTTATGCACTTCTGATATTATGCCCATAATGCCATGTTCAAAGTTGTTGTCATTCTTTCCACTTTTACTTCACTAGTCTCTCTCCTTCCTACTACAAATTTCAGTCCCTTTTCTGATCTAGGAAACCAAAGATTCAAAGACAAGAAAGATAAGAAACAGGACCTTGGAAATGAATCAAAGTGACCAAGAAAACATATTTTCCTCCATATCCTGAGTACCAAGCATGGCACCTACCGCACAAGTGATGGATTAGTACCAAATCCAAGCTACTCTACTCACAATAATACTCGTCTTTTCTAGACTCCTCCAATGCATTTTTAAAAATTCATTTGCCACAAATGTTTCCCACATTTGAACAGAATTACTCATTTATTCAATTTTTAATACTGTGCTTTTTATGTCCTCTCTCTCTGGACTCTTAGAACCTAAGTTTGTGAATTAGGTAGGCATTATCATTCCCATTTTTCAGATGAGAAAACAATTTCAAGCAAGTGCTTTACTTATCATATAAATTATACATGGTAGTATTGGCTATTCTCATTCATCTGATCTGATCTCTAATCCTGTTCTTTCTACTATGTTGGTTCTTACTGTTATTTTACTAATGACATTGTCTTTGGTTAGTCATCTTTCTGAAAAGAGGAATCTTGTCTTAAATGTTCCCTGCCCTCCTCTGCATGAGACATACTTTGCATTGAGCTATGAAATAGTTAAATAAAAGCAGCAACCAGGAATTACCCTCTAACAAATAATTATTTCTATGTTGAATTAATAAATTAATTTATGATTTGCCAAAGTAGAAAACTATACATGTAGTTGTTGGTAAAGATTATAACAAAAATTAAGACATTAAACATTTATAATTTTTAACATTTATTAGCACTCAGGAAAGCAGGCTGGAGGTACRACAGCATAGTGGTTAAACATATCAGCTCCACATGGTTCAAATCCTGGCTCTGTCCATTAAAGCCATATGACTTTGGGCAAGTTACTTAACTTCTTTATACCTTAGTTTCTTTCTTGGTAAAATGAAAATAACAGCAACAATGAGAATCACAACAATTTCCTTAGACGGTTGCCAGGTGATTAAATCTACTAATAGTTGTTAAAATAGTTGGAATGGTATCTAGCACTTAGTAATTCCTTATTGTTGGCTATTACTATTCTTTTGGGGTTATAGAGAATTTATTGAAGGATTCTTGCTGGTATTTGAAACTCAATAAGCTAGAAATATGTCCCCCAGGACTAGAGGCCTGGTCTCAAGATGCTGGCTTTCAGGATCTCTGTCACAGTACAGAAAAAGTCTGAGTAATATGAGGCCTTTTTCACAGCTGCACTCTACTGATATTGTCTGCAATTCTGACATGATTATTTAGACAAACAAACTTTCAGTCAGAGAGTAACCTTAGAATATTTGAGATCATCCTAGGGCAGCCAAACCTGCAGAGTAGCTGTTGGAGCTGAAACCTAAGCTYGCTGATTTTATCAAATGCCTCAGTAAAGTCAACAAAGTAGCTTTTCAAGGGATTCCTGAATTTATTGTGTCTGTTTTCCCACCTAGGTCATATCCACCAATGTACCTTGTGACTTTGACCCATTTATTCATTTCCTCTTCCAGTAACTGAGTGCTCAGGTTGTGCCAGGCAGGGGGGATGCACAGGTGGGCGTGATGTAGTCCTTGGGTGTGGGAGCTCACACAGCCCAGTGTGATAAGTGCCACACTGGAGGTGGGTTCCTAGGGGCACAAAGCTAGCAGTATCACCTAAGAGTGAACACAGCCAGAATTGTTCAGAAATGAAGAGTGGCCCGGGCCATATGTTTTGACTCTATTCTTGAAGATAGATTTTAACTTTGGACTCCTGTAAGGAGATAGTTCTCACCTGGAGACCACTTGTTCCACTGGGAAAATTTGGTAAAATCTGGAGACACCTTTGATTGTCACATTTGGGTGGAGGAGAGCTGCTGGCATTCAGTAGGTGGAGGCCAGGGATGCTGCTGAACATGTCATGATACACGAGACGGCCCTTCAGCAGAGAATTATTCAGCTTTACATGCCCACAGTGTTAAGTTTGAGAAAAACTCTGGGCTTCATCTCTAAGTTTCTATCTAGCTCTAAAAATTCTGTTTCTGAGAATTTTTGCTTCTTTCAAGCTTGTGCAAATGTTTCAATAGTAACTTCTTTTTCCTTCTTTTTGGGAGGTCATCCAATAATGTATTACAACCACCCATAAAATACTGAAATCCCTTTGTACCATTCCTACCCAGCTGCCAACTAAGTGGTAGGAAGTTTCTCATCTCAAATCTTGGCAAGAATCCCCATGGCATCAGTGGCCAACTTCTAGTTCTCTGCAGGCTGAGGGGACAGGACTTTTATGAATAAATAAGGGAAATCTACAAGTCATACAGAACATATAGTACTTGTATTATTTTCTCTCTCCTACTCTTTATAATAACTGTTAACTGCAAGCCACAACTACTGACCTGACTCACTAATTTCCCAGCTCTTCCTATTTATTTATTTACTTTTTTTTTTTGATACCGGGGATCGAGCCCAAGCATGCTCTACCTCTGAACTACATCCCAGCCATTTTTATTTTTGAGATAGGGTCTTACTAAGTTATGAGGGTCTCATTTAGTTGTCAAGGCTGTCCTTGAACTTGTGATCCTCCTCAGTCTCCCAAGTCACTGGATCATAGGCATGTATTGCCATGCTGGGCTCCAGCTCTTCCCTTTTAGACTGACATACTCTGAGCTAAGAAATAGTTAAATAAAAGCAGCCATCAGGAGTTACCCTCTACGAGAGAATTATTTCTATGTTGCTATTTATTGATCCTCAGACTGGATTTTTAAATTTTAAGAATGCCAAATTAGTTTTATCAATCCGTAAGTTCTAGGCATTTGTGTTTTTTTTTTTTAATATATAGATTCTCCATCTGCTTCAGATCTCATGGCTCTCAAATGGTAGAGGATAGTCAGTTGAGCCCTTCTTTCAGGAAAATTAAGAGCGCAGAAGCATTCTGAACCAGGGCTGTCTCTTCTTAAAAAGCAAAACTGAATGCAGACAACAAGCTATTTGAGTCTACTGCTCAGTTATAGAAGTTTCTGCAGGTAGCTACTAACTGAGGTCAATATGCAGACAGGGCTTTGAGACTGACTCCTATAGGCATCACTGACTCCTGACCATGAAGTTACAGAGAACTGGGCTCTATAAAAAGGTATCTTTTGCCAGTGTGACCTTCAGCAGGATCTTTAATTTCTCTAAGTCTTGGTTTCTTCATCTTTCATATGGGGCCAACAATAGTATATACTTCAAATATTTTTCTCAATTAAATTAAATGAGCAGGGCTGGGGTTGGAGCTCAGTGGCAGAGCGCTTGCCTAGCACATGTGAAGCRCTGGGTTTGATCATCAGCACCACATAAAAATCAAATAAATAAAATAAAGGTAATGTGTCCATCCACAACTAAAAAATATAAAAAGATTAAATGAGCAGTGTTAAGTACCTCTATAATAATAATACATTCTCTGCTGGAGTCATGACTGGGACTGAATCATATGGAGGAGTCAATAAAGGGTATTACTCTTATCCAGAAAGAAGCAGCATTACTCTGAAGAGGAAAGGAGATTTGCTTTTGTTTTTAGTGTCAAGAATCTCTTTGTAGGCATACTACTCATCAGAATTCTACTCATGCTTCTTGTAAAAGTGGGGGGAGTCCTAGTTCTAAGGCCATGATAAGTTGAAAAATGCCTCTGCCCTTCTCCTGATGTAGATCCTTTCCAAAAGTCTGCCCTTCTTTCATTTCCAGACCACATRAGTTACACAGAGAGACACAGGCAGAAAAACACATACATAGAATTTTGGTATACTTTTTTTTTTGTCTTCAGAAAAAGCAGAAACAGAAAACTTAGAGCTTCAGTCTCATAAGCATGTGATCATAGCGGTACATTTAAATTTAAGCCTTTGGTGTAGAGAGGGTCATACTGGTCCCATCTCTTCATGTGAACCTGCTGCAGCCAAGGGCACCTCACATCTCTTTGAATGTAAATGATGATCACACTCACAAAGTCCAGACCACACCAGTTTACAAAGCTGCCTGTAGCTGCCTCTTGCCCCTTCCCCTGTCCAGCTCATTAGGGCTGTGCAGGAGTGACACATGGTAAAATATCAGAGATCTGCCAATGGTGGGATAGAAACACCATGGCCCACTTCTTCCAGGCAGAGCCTTATATTTGAGCCTTCCAGTTCCAGAGCCAACTGGAAACCWACCACAATTGGGGAATTTGAACTCTGGAGGAGACATCTAAGCTTCTGAAGTAAAGTTGAAGCTGAGCCAAGGAAAATCAAACTTAAGTAGGCTGCCAACCTGGGATTACTGGGTTTCTTAGTGTAACCTATATTTCTCCTGTCACTTACCACAGTCGTTCCCCTTGCAGGCTCAGGAGGTCCTACATGGCCATCACACCTGTGGAAGGAATTTAAAATAATTTCTTAGAAGAGCCACCAAGAGGAGATTAACAACATATTTACCATTATGTGTTGAAATCTCAAGTTTTAAAAAAATCTTTTAGTTGTAATTGGACACAATACCTTTATTTTATTTATTTTTATGTACAGGTAAGGATTGAACCCAGGGCCTCGCATGTGCTAGGCGAGCGCTCTGCCACTGAGCCACAACCCCAGCCCTCAAGCTGTTTTTTTGTGCTCTGTAGACAGACATTTCTTGGTTAATGCGTTATTGAACAAAATTTCAGAAATCTTTTCCTGYGATTGCTTAGTCAATGTTTTACAACGTAGCCACTTAGGTGATCAAGAAAACAGCATAAAAACATAATAACAAAACAGTTGCATCTGTTGAGTGTTTAGTTACACCTGTTGAATGTTTACTGTGTGACAGGCTCTGTTCTCATGTTCCTTTCACATAGTAACTTCTTCATATACTTCACTTCCATGAGGTGGATATTATGGCTGTTCCCATTTGACAGAGGAGAAGATGGAAACACAGGAAGTTAGACAACACTGCTCAAGGAACACTGTCAGTGGTTGGGCTAGGAGTTAGGCTCAGGTTGTCTGAATCCAGAGCCCTCTTTAACAGTGTGGCACATTGAATCTTCCTGCAAACACTTTGTTTCTGTGCATTTTTCTTCCAAAAAGAAATTAAGTCAGGACCAGACTTAATCCATAAGAGAATTGTTGAAAAAGCAAACTCTAAGCTGGGTGTGGTGGCCACACCTGTGATCCCAGCTGCTTGAGAGGCTGAGGCAGGAGGATTGCAAATTTGAGGCAGCCTGTGCAACTTAGCAAAACCATGTTTCAAAACAAAAAATAAAAAGGGCTGGGGTTGTGCCAGGTGCGGTGGCGCACGCCTGTGATCCCAGTGGCTTGGGAGGTGGAGGCAGGAGGATCATGAGTTCAAAGCCAGCCTCAGCAATTTAGTGAGGTGCTAAGCAACTCAATGAGATCCTGTCTCTAATAAAATACAGAATAGGGCTGGGGATGTGACTCAGTGGTCGAGTGCCCCTGAGTTCATTCCCTGGTACAAAAAAAAAAAAAAAAAAAAAGCCTGGGGTTGTAACTAAATGGTAAAGTGCCCCTGGGTTGTTCAATCCCCAGTGTCTGTCTGTCTTCATGTCTTCATGTCTCTCTCTCTCTCTCTCTGTCACACACACACACACACACACACACACACACACACACTATAAATATTGCTTTAGGATTATTTATTTTTAAAGATGCCTGACATTATACAATCATTTTGGAGGAAAAAATATACTTTTACTATTTGTGTTGCTCCTTTCGAATTTAGTGAGAAGGTAAAAAATTTACAAGCTCTTTACATTTATAATCTTATTCCAAAGTACAGTCAGCCTGAATTCTTATTCAATATTTAATAGACTGTTCTGACTTAGAGCTCCTTATGAAATCAGGCCATCTCTTCCAAAAAAAAAAAAAAAAAAACCCAGCAAGAAGAATACTAAGTTAAACAAACTGGGACTCTTAAGTTGGAATAGTCCAAAGTGGCCAGGCACAGCTGTCTTTCATTCGGACTCCTTGCTGCTTTGTGGTTCATGAAAGTTGAGCAAGAAACCTGGGAGGCCAAATCATTTGATATCTTAAAAATATCCACATGTCATGTATTTTTTAGTTTAACTCAAAATTTAAACAGAAATTGAAATCAATATTATGGGTATTTTTCATATTACTCTGAATTTTTCTCTCTACTAGTAACATCTGGAGGTTAAATCCAGGTTGAGTATTCCTTTTCCAAAATGTTTGGGACCTGAAGTGTTTTGGATCTCAGGGTTTGGGTTGTGTGTGTACACATGCGTATGTGTCCTATATTTAAATCTAACTAATGAGATATGTTGGGACACAAATCTAAACATGAAATTTATTTATGTTTCGTGTACCACATACACATACACACACACACACACACACACACACACACAGCCAGAAGGTAATTTTACACAGTATTTCTAGTGCATCTGAAGTTTGACTGCAACCCATTATGTGAAGTGAGGTGTGCAATTTTCTACTTGTGGTGTCATGTCAGTACTCCAAAAGTTTTATATTTTGGAACACTTTGGATTTTGAATTTTTGAATTAGGGATGGTTTCATTTTTATCTTTCCTTTCTGTAAATATCAAGGCCGCATTCCTCTTACATGCTATTTACTATTTTGAGCTCTTTAGTAAAAACAAATATGACTGAGATAGGGACCTGTTCTCTGAGAGTTTTCAACAATAGCACAGACTAAAAAGTCAAAATACCCAAAGGCAAGGCTTGATAAGGACAATAAAGAGATATAAATAAAATACACTGAAAATACAGAGGGGCCCATAAGCATTTCCTAGGGATAAACAGGGAAAGTGATAGGGAGAAGCTGGTGGGGAACAGGCACAGAGGCGAAAGACTGCAAGAGCAAAGGCTTGGAGGAGACAGTGCTGCAAGGGAGGTTGGGGACCAGCAAGTAACTCGGTTTGCCTAGAGCCAACAGTACCTGCTGATGGTGCTTCCCAGATACCTACCAGGCTGCAGCCCTCAGAGTGTGTCCCCACAGCCCAACTCTTAACAGCTCTCCAGGGCCCTTATCTGACTTGGAGCAAGGGCAGCAGGGGCAGGTTGCTGAGAATGGCAGATGAATGGAAGAAGCAGTTAACAGACCAGAGGATGTCTGGCTCATAATTAGACAGAGTATCACCAAATGCAAGTGTGTGCAGCCAGTGTAAAGATGCAACCTCACCTGAGAGTATGCACGGCTATGTGTGCCAATATGGACTTTGGTAAGAGGGGGTAGGACTCTGCTGACATGGGGCTCCAGAGTCTCTGCACCCACTCCAGACCCTCCACAAGCAAACTCATGTTTCTGATAAGAAAAAACTTCCACTTGTAGAGTGAATAGAAGCAATAGCAATGCCATATAGTCTATGTTGGCATGAGCCTGCCAGACTTTGCCATGTCAAAGGATACAAAAATACCTCATCTCCTATGTTGTATTGATGCCACGTCTTAGAGACTCCTTACAAATACCCCCACTTCTCCATCCCCAATCATTCTGTCTGATAGTTATCTTTCACATTTTCTCTTCTGGACTTTCYATAATCCTTCACACCACCATTGGAAAGATCTGTCTAAAATGCAAATTGGATCTTTTCAATCCCCTGCCTAAAATTCTAAATTTTAAAAGGCCTTACACAAGACCTTTCTTTTATCTGCTGAACCCTCGAGACAACCCTTCATCTGTAGAACTTCATCTCCCCACATTCCACTTATAATAGGTATCTGAACCCCAGGCTTGTCAAATTAATTCCACCTCTATAATTCTCTCTTCTTTTCATACTTTTGCAAATACCAAAAATTCTCATTCAATAAAGTAGAGTAGTATTTGCAARGTGTGATGGCACATGTCRTAATGCCAGCTACTTGGGAGGCTGAGATAGAAGGAATGCAAGTTTGAGGCCAGCCTTGGCAACTTAGTGAGACCCTGCCTCAAAATAAAAAATAAAAGGGGTTGAGGATATGGCTTGGTTGCAAAGCATCCCTGAGTTCAATCCCTAGTACTGAGAGAGAGAGAGAGAGAGAGAGAGAGAGAGAGAGAGAGAGAGAGAGAGATAAAGAGAGAGAGAGAGAGAGGGAGGGGTGGGGTTCAACAATATTATTTTCTCATCAGAGCCATGGGTGATTTTCCTTCAAGTGTTGTGGAGCACACTTTAACCACTGAGAAGCTCCAATGGGATGGCCACAGGCACTCCACATTCTCCTTCTAGATCTCCTTCCTATCTAATTAATCAACAAATCCTGTGGATCCACACTCATAAATCATCCTCTTTTCAGCATCTCCCTGCTCTTACTGAAGTTAAGACTTTGGTCATCTCTTGCCTTTATTATTTCAACAACCCCTTAGCTCTTTCTGTCTCCAGGTTTGTACCAATCCAATCTATTCTGTATACTTTAGCCAGAGCGATCAGTACATATTAACTCATGCCAGTCCCTGCAGACTTCCATTTGCTCTCATGAAAGTTGAGGCCCCAAGCAACTTAGTGAGATCCTGCCCCCCTCCCACAAGAGGGGGTGCTGGGGATGTGGCTCAGTGGTTAAGTGYCCCTGGGTTCAATCTCAGTACCAAAATAATAATAATAATACCAGTACCAAAATAATAATAATTATTATTATTAGTATTAGTATTATAATAATAATTATTATTAAAGCAATCAATGGAAAAAATACACATACATTCACTCATGCATGTGGAGTGTGTGCAGGGGAGAGAAAGAGGAATATATCAAAATGTTAGTATTAGTCCAGATTAGTGGATGCGGATGATTTTATCTTTACACATATATAATAAGGACAAAATAGTATTATTTTAAAAGGGATTAATGGCTGCCCACTGACACGGGATCAAGTCTAAGCTTCTTAGTATTGCACATATAAGGTCCCTGTGTTCTGGCCTCTGCCAGCCTCTTCCGTTCCTCTCATCTCTCACCTCTCACTGAATCTCAGCGACCTGGTTGAATTCCTGTTTTCGCTACTTTCTGCATCTTGGATGGTGTTATTTCTTTTGCCTGGTATAGCCTGTGGATCTTAGTTGCCTAGCAAACATTGACTCGACTCCCCTCTTCCAGAAAGCCTTCTGGGTCCTTGAGTCTGAGTTAAGCACTTCTCCTATAATGTTTCCAGGCAAGAATATCATATATCATCACAGCACTCACCACATTACACCACAGTCATCAGAGGACTTGGGTGTTGCTCAGGCTATAGCCAGGCCACCTGGTGTTCCTGTGTGAATTCTAAAAGGTATTCCTTCCTTAGGACCCCTTAGTGTCATTTGCTGGAAATCGCCACAATAAATATGCAAATCCTTGATGATCATGATGCACTTCTCAAGAGTTCTGTGGTGTACCCCCTGCCTCACCACACACAGCAATCAGATGTTCCTTACTAGATTCTAAAGTCTATAGGCATGGAGTTTGGGTTTTTTCACTATTTTATCTTCAGTATTAAACATAGTGTCTGATCTTGGGTAGGACTTTGATAAAAGCTTGATAAATATATATGAAAGAGAAACTGTGGCCTTGTTATACCCATGCCAGGAACTTTGTCAGCCCTTACCACAGTGGGAATAACCAAACTGCAGTGGTTCCCAGCCCTGAATGAGAATCATATATCCTGGAGAATTAAAAACTAAAAAATAAATCTCCCTGTGCCCCACTTCAGACCTCTGATTTAGAATCTCAAGATAGGAGCCTGATTATCTGTCTTATTTTATTTATTTTTATTTAAAAATTGGGGGAGGGGATTGAACCCAAGGGCATCCTAACACTGTGCTTCATCCCCAGTACTTTGTTTTGTTTGCAATGCTGGAGATTGAACCCAGGATATCAAACATACTAGTTAAGTGCTCTACCACTGAGCTATGTCCCTTTCCGCAGTCACTTTTATTTTGTATTTGTGAGATGGGGTCTCATTAAGTTGCTGAGGGTCTTGTTAAGTTGCCCAGGCTGGTCTTGTACTTGCAATCCTTCTCCCTCAGCCTCCTGAGTAGCTGGAATTACAGGTGTGCACCACTGTGCCTGTCTGTCATTAGTTTTAAATTGTTGATGAGATTATAATAATGACCAACCAGATCAACTGGGAACCATTGGCCACCCAGAATGAAACTTCAAACCACTCCTCTTGTCTGGCCTCTCCCTCCTGTCACCACAAGCCTACTGTTCATCTGTGGACACCACGCCTGGAATCTACAAGGAACCAGAAGGAACATTGCCAAGGTAGAATCTTGCTTACTCTGATGTCTCCTTCAGTTTAAGTGTCTTGGATTCCTGTATCTTCCCACTTGAACACGGGCACTCAAGTAGGAAAGARGAAGCAGGTGGGGAGAGAGAGGGAGAGAGAGAAATAACCAGGGAGGAAAAAATCTGCTTTTTAACTTTCCAAAACAGTATTTGATCTTTTTGCTTTATATAAGGAAGGTTGCAGTTGAACAGTCTGAGCTGTGTACGCCCTATGGATCAGACAAATTTGGACAAGTCTGAAGTAGCAGCTAGGAGGCTCCACCAAAGCTCTTTGCATATGAAGGGAAGAAAATCATCTGAAAAAAAGGAGCAGGGCAGTGGGCACGCACACTCTTGTTCCAAGATCACAGTTATCACTCCAATCACAACTCTGTAGTGAGCAGTCACCATATGCTAAGTTCTATGATCATTCTCAAAGACATTAGGGCTCTTTGTGAACCTTATGAAGTAGTTTGCTTGTACTTCCACCTCTTCCTAGAAGTTGGGACTGCCACAAGGGAAAGAGTAAGGAGGAAAATATGCACATTCCTAAAATCACCATAACCAACTGGTAGTAGGTAGTTGTGCAGCTTGTGGGTAAACAGCTCCCTTGAGTTAGTGGAACCTGACTTCCTGGTGGAGCATGGAACAGAGTGGCAAAGTACCCTACCTAGTAGGTAGGGCATCACTGGAATGGTTTGTGAGGAGGACTGCATTTACAAGCTCACACTATACACTACTGGATACTTGCGGAACTATGTGGAGGGACTCTGTGAGGACAGAGTTACTAAAATTCTGTGTGGTGGCCGAGGGGGGGAAGAGAGGAAGGGGGGAAGGAGGGGGAAGGGGAGAAAGAAGGGGAAGGGAGGAAAGGGGGTTGCTGAGCACCACATGTCACAAACACCAGATACCCTGTAACAAGATAAAATCTAAGGGAAAATGTAGGGGAAAGCTACAAGCAAGATATGTAGGTTCTTGAATTTGTTGGCTAGCAATAAATAAAATATAAACAGAAAATATTTTTATTTTTTCCTGGATTTGATTCAGGTCAATCATTTACTAATAGTATTGAAATCATGATGAGAAAACTGAGGAGTACCATTTGGGAAGAGGAAGAAATCATTTTTTAAACAGCAATGGTTAATCTTTTTTTTTTCTTTTTTATAAACTCACAAAGTCACTGTGTTCCCATGGCCTTTTAAATCCATTGATAATAAGAAACCAAAGTTTAAGATGCCATATACAGTAGGCCCCTCTTATCCTGGGGGCGGGGATATGTTCCAAGACCCCCGTGGATGCCTGAAACCATGTATAGGATAAAAACCTGAGAATATTATTTTTTCCTCATATTTACATATGATAAAGTTTAATTTAAAAATTAGGCATAGTAAGAGAGTAACAACAACCAATAATAGAACAATTATAACAATATATTGTAATAAAAGTTATGTAAATGTGCACTCTTTCTCTTTCAAGGTATTTTATTGTATTCTACTGTATTTTTCGGCCATGGTGATTGTGGGTAGCTAAAATGATGGATTTGGGTGGTGGGGGGGGTGGGGCTGGGCCAGATATTGTAATTCTATTGGCTGGCCCTTAAAGTAAACAAGTATAACTGTTAAGGTGATGAAGCCCACTTTTTTTCTGAAGAAGGTTACCTGCTATCCAGTGTTATCTTTTCAGTTAAAACCAAAGCTTCAAAGAGAAAAAGAAATGTCTCTGATAATCAAGTATTGAGTTGTACAGAAGGCTGCCTTTTTCATGTAAGGGTTGGTTCTTTTTCTCTGATTGGCAAAAGATCCTCTAACCTACTTTGCTGACTTGTTCTCCAGAGCACCAAATGCGACAATGCAAGCCATCGATGGCTTCAGCAAGTAGAAACCTGACAGCTGCTTCACACAAAATGACTGGGCTTCCTGGGCTCTCTGTCAAGTCCTTCCAATGTGCTTGCAGCAAGGAGGATTCGGGAGTCTGTTTTCTCAAGGTTGATTTTGTATTTTGGAAGATCAAAACTTTCAAAGAAAGTTAAACCCTATCTGGGATTTAAAAAGCCCTCAAGATGTAAGATATACAACTTATATAAACTGTCACACTTAAAAATACCTGCACCCTTACATTTAGGATTAGTATCCAAATATTTAGGTCATATTCATATTCAAATTCAAAAATAAAAAGGACATGATTTTGCATTTTATCTTCTAAAACTGCTTCAGAGCAACCACCAGTGTCTTCATTCTGTATTTTACTCTAGCAGAAATTAAAAAATATGTATCATATTAATGATCATTAAGATAAATGTTAAATTCATCCACTTACATTTTGAAAGTAAATTTTATTTAAAGATAAAAGATTCTGAAAACTGATGAACATACACATATACTTAAAAATTTTGTTTCATTTCTGCATATTATATTTTGGTTTGTTTAAAAGAGCTGTAAGTTATTTTGGTATCTAAGACAGACATTTGCTAAACAGAATCTTGCAAGTTTTAACTTTTTTTTTTCAATTTGATCTGTAGCCAAAGCATATGACAGACACCACAAGTGAAGATTACAGACCTTTTATCTTCTTTGATTMACTTTTACAGTATCTTGAAATATAAACTTGGAAATAACTTGTCCAGAGAGTTAACAGGTTTCTCAACTTTTCTGACTTTATTAATATTAGACTGTTCAGCCATATAAAATTTGCTTTAGAGAAAATCACTGAAAATACAAATTCTATCACAAATCCTAGCTACCACACACTGGGAGTATTTCTTTTCTCTTTAAAACAAATATTTCCTTCGCAGGAAATGCTCCTTGGTTTTAAATTCCCCACCTGAGAAAGAATTACTAGTGTCTCAAGTATTTTAAAAAAGAAAGTAACTCACCTACTTGAAGTCTTTTTCCTCTCAGGTGATTCTGGTAGGGACAGTCACATAAATCTACATTTTGCTCAGCTCTTCCTTATTTCATCAGACAAAAAGAGCCTCAGGTGAGAGCTGAAAGTAAAAATCCTGCTATCCACCCAAGAGGGGAGGCCAGTGCTCTGCCAAGCCTGGGAGTCTCATCACACGCCCCACCAGCTGCTTGCTGCCTCTTGTTTTTCAGCAACAGTGACCTCCAACACCTTTTATTTAGCTGTGTAACGCAATCTGAATGGTTTGACGGCACAGGGAACACATCACGTGCCAAGCCAACACCTTAAGAGGGTGGGAAGCTTTGCAACCAGGAAGACATGCCGAAATATTTAGCAGTCAGCTCAAATACACATCAGCATAGCCTTGCTTGTTTTTCATGAAACAATCCAACAAAGTAATGAGTCAAGATAAACTGATTTCTGCAGTTCTAAACCAGGAACCATCTGGAACTATGCTACCACCTCTCCAAAAGCTTCCTCTCCCTCACCTTATATTTAAATCCTGGGTAACCACACAGGGATGGCTTGCTGTCAATATTTCTGATAACCATCATGCTTGTTTTCTCTTCTCTGTTTTAGAAATTCTGTTTTCCTGTATTCTTTTGCTTATCTCATATTTACTCTTTTCTAGTCTTTATGCGCCAACTCCCCTTATGAGACCAGGGACATACATCCTCCTAAAAGGAGCAGTTTTGATTTAAATATCTTCCCAGATAAAGCATAAGAACATACTATTGGAGCAGTGGAACAACTGCCAATGACTATTTCCCAACATTTAACCCATCATTCACCAAGTGCACCACCAGGCAGGGCTGCAGTTAAGTAGAAGTTGAATTTCAGGTGAGTCAAGTCTCATGGTTTCCTAAGAACTTTGTCACTGTTTGAGCTAAGACCTGTTTCTTTTGTTACTGTATGAATTGAAATTCCAAGAACAAACATTAAACTAAATGGGCAACTGGCCTCTGACATCAAATAACTAAGGASCCGTCACATGACCTGAGTTTAACTCACCCTTTCTGTCCCAGAGATTGAAGCTTTAAAGYCTCCTTCCCAGGTTTTCTGAATGAGAACAAGGAAGCAAATGACGATCTGAAGCTCGGTCGGGAAGGCGCAGATGTGGGTTTTTTTTGATTAGTTAGAATTTTAGATCTTGATGTTTGTAACTCCATAGGATCTAAAAAGAATCATAAGAATTTCTGCATTGTTAAAATCTTTCCAGAAAAATGCACATGAAAGAATGAACCTTTCACTCTTGTTTCTCTCTCTCCCTCTATGCAGTCTAGAAACAGGTCAGGATTCCTCACAGGAAGACCTTGGGAATGAAGGGGAACCAGCACAGCCTCTAAGAGTCCTGTGCCCCTGCTGGTTCTGCCCAATAGGGAATATCCTCACAAGCTGCAGGGTGACTTTCAGTATGTACATGGGTCACAATTCTGTAGGTGATCTCTTGCCTTAAGCCAGCTGTGAGTCTTTCTCATCATGTCTTCCCCATGGATATCCAACATTCATGGTAGTAAATTGGGAGCTCATCCAATACTCACATTGTTGTGTCTTTTAGAAATTTTCATTTTTAGTATTTTTAAATCATAACTTTTTAATCTATTTTTTTAGATATACACAACCTTATTTATTTATTTATTTATTTATTTATTTATTTATTTATTTATTTATTTATATGTGGTGCTGAGGATCTAACCCAGTGCCTCACACGTGCTAGGTAAGCACTCTACAACTGAGCCACAATCCCAGCCCTCATAACTTTTTATACCAAAGAAAGTAAAGGAAAAGGAAATTAAACCATTTAGTGTCTGTTACCAAAAGTCTCTCAGCATACATGTATTTGCAACATAAACTATTTATGTAAGTGCGTGCATGTATAGGTGATAGTTTTACATATAATTATTAAAATTTGAAGACAATAATACCATAATACCATACAGACCATAACACCATAATACTTTAGGGCATGCTGACTTTATAATTATTATAGGAATTTAAGGGAACAGCAAAGTCACCACAGTATATATAGGATTAATCTGAAAATTGGAACTGCGAGTCTTTTTAGGTACGGTGGTTTATTAAGAGAGTTACAAGATATTGTCAGTATATAAATTTAGAAATATTGTTTCATGTTTCATTGTGTTACTAATGTTGATAACATATGCAATAATTGTCAATATGATTACCAGTAAAAAAGTCACTTTATTCTGTTTTCATAGTTTATAATTTCTAGAGCACTTTGTTATTCTCACAATAGTCCTGAGAGAGCAAGTCTTACTATCCTCATGTATAGATTAAAAATTAATCTACTCGTAAAGTTAAATGACATGCTGGGAATCACATGGTTAGAATGTCCATAGAATACACTTATTGAAGTCATGTATGAAGCTGACCAAAGTTTCAGAGGGATGGCAGCTCCTCTGCTGCCTCCTCCCCACTTTCCTCCCATTCCCCCTCTCCCTTCCTTTCCTGAAACCCTCCCCTGTTTCTTCCTTCTCCATCATAACCCCATCTATTTAAGTGCTTGCTGTGTTCCAGACTGATTATTTGTAGACATAACTATTTAATCCTCATAACCACCCTATGAGGTAGGCAATAAACCCATTTAAAGAAGAGAAAATTGAGGTTTATAGAGAACAAATACTTGAACAGACTCACATGGATAGGTTGGAAGTTTGATCCAGGTCTTTTTTGACATCCATGTTTGTGTTTCCAAATACTATGCTATCAAGACAGTATTACAGTAAAATTTCAGTTCACTCTTTTTAGTGTATGTTATATGATGAAACTTTTGTACTTTATAATAGTTCTAAGCTATAGATTAGTTTAATGGGGGATCCACTGATCCATTTTCTATAATACTGTACCACAAGGAAAAGAAGAGATGATTTAAATCTAYGTTTACTCACCATTTTTTGCCATCCTTAGCCTGTGTGTGAGTGGTTGTTTTATCATTTGGCTAACATCTATTTCAGTGCAAAACTTTTTTCTTTGAATTTCTTCAAACCATTCTCCAGTCACTCCTTGAAGCCATCTGATATCCCTCTTTGTCTTCTGAAGCTTGCTGAAATAAAGCAGAAAACAGAATGTGATGGACATCAATGCATTCTTCAAATTCATTCTTATCTAATGCAAACTCACATGATGAGCTATGTTCTGCCTAATGCAGGAGCAGTGTAAACTATGTGTCTAGGGAAAAAATGGCACTAGTCAGATATTCCTTTTGACCAAAGCATATATATATATATATATATATATATATATATATATATATATATATATATATATATATTAGATGTGTTCTTCTGAATACCATGACAACCTAAAATTTTTGCCAGTAGTTGAGTTAATGACGACAAACTGGGTTGAGCAATATGCTAAAACCTGATCTAATAATGCAAATAAATGATAGATGTTCTAATAACATGTAGAAACTAGCATATCCTAGTTCTGATTACTCATTCACTCATTCATTAATCCATTAAATGTTTATTGGGCAATGTTAATCAATTAAATGCTTATTGAAGCCCATGTAGGCAATGGGGGTTCAGAGTGAATATAACAGGTAGGTTGCTTACTCATCCATTCCATGGCCAAAGATATAAGCTATTATGCAGAAAACAAATTGTTGAATAGAATGGTCTTAGATAATGGAATTCTTCAAACATGAAGACATGAAAACCCATGAATGAGCACAGGGCTAATGCTAGAGTTGTAGGGAAAAGTGGAATTTGAGATAGACAGGAAAGTTTATTGAAAGCCTAAATATATCCTCTGCACCTTGAAAACACCAGGCCTGAAATCCTACCTACTTCTTTTGCTTTCCTGCTTTTCCTGTTTAGTCTTCTTTCAAATGAAAATGCTGCTTTACAGTATGGAGATTTCTTGGAAATCTGGGAATGGAACCATTTGACCCAGCTATCCCTCTCCTTGGACTATACCCAATGGACTTAAAAACAGCATACTACGGGGACACAACCACATCAACGTTTATAGCAGCACAATTCACAATAGCTAAACTGTGGAGTCAACCTAGATGCCCTTCAGTGGATGAATGGATAAAAAAATGTGGCATATATACACAATGGAATTTTACTCAGTAATAAAAGAGAATAAAATCATGGTTTTGCAAGTAAATGAATGAAGTTAGAAAAGATAATGCTAAGTGAAGTTAGCCAATCCCCAAAAAACAAATGCGGAATGTTTTCTCTGATATAAGGAGGCTGACTCATAGTAGGTAGGGAGGGGGAATATGGGAGGAATAGATGAATTCTAGATAGGGAAGAGGGGAGGGAGGAAGAGGGAGGAGGCAGGGGATTAGCAAGGATGGTGGAATGTGATGGATATCATTATCCAAAGTACATGTATGAAGACTCAAATTGGGTGTCAACCTACTTTATATACAAACAGATATGAAAAATTGTGGTACATATGTGTAATAAGACTTGTAATGCAAAAAAAACCCAAAGTACATGTATAAAAACATGAATTGGTGTGAACATACTTTATACACAAAGATATGAAAAATTGTGCTCTATATATGTAATAAAAATTGTAATTCTGCTGTCGTATATTTAAAAAAATAAAATCAATTAAAAAAAAAAAAAGAAAATGCCGCTTTAAGTCTTTACTTAAATCCCCAGTTGTGATTTTTTTTTCAAAGTTGACCATTTTGCTCAATTTCAGAAGGACCCTAGAACTGTTTGGAGATCTAACAGGAAATCTCCCTAGGCAGAGCAGAAAGGTGAGTTTGAAGAACACGGTGACAATATAGGGCTCAGTGTGTAACTTATAAAGTAGTTGCTTTTGTATAATGCTAATGAAAGGTTAGGCTTCTTATTGGGTTCCAACCAGCTGTCATCTTTTATCCTGGGCCTGATGTAAATAACCAATGTAAGGTCTTTGTATTGCTAAGAAGATGGTGAGCAAGATGTCTCCAGAATGGCCAATTTGGGGTTAAAGGCAATGAACTGAGATGACTGTAACTCATGCTTCTGCTTGGGGCTATGATACTGCTGTTTTATAAAAATATTCAAGAAGGAAGCCAGAGGTCATCCTGCCCAGACTTGCATTTTGAAAAGCATTAGGCAGCAATCATTATGTTTAGCCCACAGAATTTGCACTAGTGCCTCCTCTTTTGCCATGGCCACTCTCTGATACCTGGTAGCTCCTGTCTATTGAGACTTCCCTTACTACCAGAATAGACTAAGAGACCCCCAGGTATCTGCTTCTAACCAATGCTGAATGATGGCACATCAGAGCTGCCCTCAGAGTCCTGTGCCTCTGCTGGATCTACTGAGTAGAAGAAATCCACACAAAGCTGCAGGGAATCTTTCAATATGCATGAGGTCACAATTCTATAGGTGATCCCATGCTTAGGTAGCAGTAGGGGACAGGAGACTAGTCAAGGGGCTGGTAGAGAGAGGTGTTTGCTTGACCAGGGTGATGGTGGTGATGCTGAAGAAAAGCATAAGCACTCAGAGCAACTTAAGGGGTAAAATTGACTCTCAGATGTCCACTGGAATTGAGTGATTTTGGGAGGCTAAGGGCTGAGACATGTCAAGGAAGACTCCTAGATTTTGATTTACATAAGTGTATAAAATATGCCACTCATTGAGCTGCTAATAAGTTCAAGCTGTCTCTAACACCTTACTAATGTCCCACATTGGGACATGACCTCTACTTCCTGGAAACCCTCCCTAATTGTTGGTTCCCCAAAGTCAGCACCACCCTCTTCCACTTCTCCACATACCAATCTAATTTCAGAAGGAGGTCAAGCTACCTGACTTAGGAATGCCCAATATAAATATAACCTTTTATTTTTCCCCTTATAGGCTTGGTGTAACTTGGACTCTCTTTTAAAAATAATCACAGCTTACTGCCATCTCTAGCACCTTGCACACATACCCATAGCTGCCTGGTTTTTATCCATCTCATTGTCAATAGATTCAGACATCAATATTTTCTTGTGAATACTCATGCATTTTGAATTCCATTGCAGGAAATATATCTTAAAGCAATAGCTACTCCCAAGCACACAAATTTAATGAACATCCATGTAGTTGCTAACCATAATTATGCAGGCAATAGAGAATCTTAAGAAAATTCACATGAATTAACATGAAATGGCAAAAAAAAAAAATACAGCATTTTGCCAATGAGCATGACTATGTAAAAATGATGCAATCATTTGGACACATTAGGGAACAAAGGAAAACGTCTGACCTTTTAGAGTAGAATAATTATAGGTATCATTTCTATGTTTAGCTTTTTTGTTATGTTGATTCTATAAGTACAACACGTGGAGCTGTTTCTTTTTTTCAGCAGTACTGGGGATTAAACTCAGGGCCTCTCACATGCTAGCCAATTCCTCCACTATTGAGATATATCCCCAGAACAAGATGTTTCTTTTTGTTTGTGAATTTTTATTTTAACATTTTTGCATTACATATTTGTGGAAGATAGAGAAAAATGTCATATTTCTACAATCCTAAAACATCCATTATTGCCTTTTTAATGTGTTTTATTCTCTGTGTTTTTCATATGGTTGTAATAGAATTTATTTCATATATATCTGCATAAAGCCTCGAATGATGCACTTGCTGGCCTACAATAGTGAGCAAAACAGATTTGGCTCCACTCTAGGTAGCTGACAGTCTAATGGGAGAAATGAACATGAGTCCAGTAACAATAGAGTTGTAATAATAGTGGTAAGTGTGACTTATTCATTCAAAGTATGTTTGAACCCTGGGTAAAGAATGCTTGCCCTACAGAATTTAAATTCTGCTGGGGTGGGAGGATTTATATTTGTGTGTGTTCAGGGTGGAAGGGGACAATAAACAACAAAATGTAAATAGGTACTACAAGAGCATGCAACCAGGGGACCTGCCTGAGATCACAGTGAAGATTTCCTGGAAGGATAAAGGGTAGTGGGCTGGGGGATCCTAGGTGGAGAAGTAGTAACTGGAGAACAATAGCCCTGTGGCTGGAGGGTGGCCAGGGAGAGGAAGCCTAACCAAAGGGGAGAGGAGAGAGACAGCCACTAGATCATGCAGTGCTAGGGGTCAGATTAAGTGCTTTGGTGTTTGATCCTGAAGCAATGAGAAAGCATTAGAGGTGTGACACATCGGATTTGCATTTTTAAAAGCTCTTTCTAGCTACAGGTGGAAAGCAGATTCCAGGGGGGAGAGGAGACCAGTCAGGGTTACCTGTAGGAAACAGAGGTATCTGCTTGGATCAGGATGATGGTGGTGAGGCTGAAGTGAAATAGAAAGTGTTCAGAGTGACATAGTGGGTAAAATTGACTCCAGGTGTCCATAAGGATGACRTGATTTGGTGGGGGTGGAGTTTAAGGGCAGAGACAAGTCAAGGAAGACTCCTAGATGTCAGATTTACCTAAGTAAATGCCATTCATAGAGATCATGCCTATATAATCTTAAAAAAAAAAAAACCCTTAACACTTTGTCAAAAATACTTTTAACATTACTCATCTTCAGGGCAAATACTAAATATTTGCATAATATTCAAGTTAGTATGTTTTCCATAATTTATTTACTCTTCCCCTGGTGAAGATTTTCCCTTGTAAATATTGCAATAAAAGATGTCATTGTGCATTTTCTATTTTCATAGCGTCTCTGAAAGAATAATTGAGTCAAGGAGTCAAATATTTTTGTGTTTCTTTATATGAACTACCAAAATACTTATCAAAAGGGATATAAACAATATTACTCCTTCTAGTAATGTACAAGAACTACCCATCCTTGGAAGGCTGGGTATTATTATTTTAAGTATTTTTATTTTCCTAATTTAATATTTTAATGGTACTGTGTCTATAATTATTTTTCTTTTTGAGAAGTCTTATTTGTTTCATAAAATATGCTACATTTCTTTGATAAGTAGTGAGGTTTGAACACTTTCTCATATGTGTGAAATTACATTTTGTGTTTTGGCACGGGGGGTGGTGGTGTTTGTTAATTTATGAATCAGTGCCTCGAATTTTTCATTGGAATGAGAAATATTTAATAAAAAGTAACTCCTTTTTCTTATTTCATCCAGGTTTTTATT